CGGCGAGACTAGCGCATGTTACTCTGGGAAACATGCGCCAGACTAATGCATGTTTCTCTGGAAATGTGCGCCAGACGTTATGGGCATTATAGGTATGTGCTGAAATTAGCATTAAAATATTAACGTTAAAATTAAAAGTCACGTGACTTATATAGTAATGCCCATGGGCCGCCCACCAAAGGATATAACCTATTCACTTGTGACGTAAATAATAAGGTTATATCCTTTGATGATCACCCGAGTGGGGTGAAATGCGAAGTAAAATTATTTTCGGTAATGTAGATCATATAATTTTTTTTTTTTTGTATTTTCAAAAAAATAAATAGCAATAAACCTATAATAGAAAATCATTGCATATATCAAAAATAAATTAGTTTGGAATAAACATCAACCTATAATAGAAAATCAAACATTTTAATTAATATATTTTAATTAATGAAAATCAAGGTTACAGATTATAGTTTGCACATACACTAAGCTTTTTTTGTCTTTACGCTAGGAAGATAAATAATAGTATTGTATAATTGGTTTAAATGAACCTTGTCTAGTAAATATGATAAATGAAAGAAATGTAAGGTATTTCATACTATTATCCGTATTGAGAAGATAATATTATGAAGATGATCAAACATTGAAGTATCGAAATTTTATTGTATATACGTACAGTAAATCAATAAATAATCTTGAAAAGTTTTATTATGCAATTTTAAATTGAGTAAATTTTAAAACAAAAAAAAAAATTATTTATCTTTTATCTTAGTAAATGATATTTATTTAATTATGTATTAAGAGATATATTTTTTGAATAGAGACCATATTTTCCACATTACCTTTGCACTAATCTTATTAATCTTAAAAAAATTGAGAATGAATAAAGTGTGAAAATTATGGTCAAGTAGTAAATAGCTCTTATATTAACAAATCTATTTCTATGATAAAAATATTAATAAATGTTTTTAAAAAGGACAATCTAAGTATCTAACGGATTACAGGTTTCATGAAGATAAATACATCATATTTTGAATATTGTATTTTTAAGTTCGAAAATTATTATTTATTTTTTATGTATTAAAAAAATAAATTCCATTTTCCTTTGTTGCTCTTACTACTATTTTAATATTTATCTCCTCTAATCTATTTAAATATTATTAACTAAATTAAATCTATACTATTATCATTTAATATTTATATTTGTTTCTAATTGAGTAAGAGGGAGGTTAGTTGTTATGTTAGCTGACATTTCTGTTTTCTTATTGTTATGGTAGTATGTAAAAAAAAATTAAGATTTGAAAACACACAAGTGCATGTGTACCAAGCCTATAATTATAAAGCATTGTCGGAACATTTCCTGAATGCCATTTTCCTGAATATATCTTTTTCCGAAGTCAATTACCTGAATACTAATTGCCCAAACTGGACCCTTTCTGAAAAATACAATTTCCGAATCCATATTTCCCAAACTCCAATTTCTTGAAATCTATTTCTCGAATCCTGAATCTCGAATATCTCGAATCCCAATATCCTGAATCCTAATAATAACCCAAGCATAAATCAACCGGAAAGAATGATCTAGATTTTAAGTACTAAGTCCAAATTTGTTATCATGAAATGAAGAGAGTTGAAAGTGTTTAAGGAAGTTAATCATCATTTCAAATATTAATCATTTTATAAATTGTCAAGAAAAATAATGAATAAACTAAGTAAATTTAATTGAAAAAATTCCCATCATTTTTATCAAAATGATTCTTTACAGCTGATGTTTTTTGATATTTATTTTTTTTGCATTATTCTTAACAATAATTGAGTGTTTTAAATTAAATCTAATACACAATGTAATATAATTTTCTGGTTATATTTTATGCTTTGAAGTAAATATTTAATACAGTAATATAGTTTAGACATGCAGTAGATAAATAAACTTATAGTAATTATCCGAAATGTACTGAAAGACTATATACTTTTATACTTCTATGCAAAGGTCAAAAATGTTCATTCTGTCCGTCCAGCACGTACTTTTAAACAGCACGCACTTCGGACTTAAAACAGTTTCCGTTTTCTAGTA